GGCAGCTCATCCTCCCACCCACCCACAAACACCCAGTGCTGCTGCTGCAAGGGGCCAGTGGCAGGACCTGAGTGCCCAGAGCCCAGGGCTGGGATGGGAGGGCTCCTCCTGCCTGGGATGGCTGCTCCTGGGCAGTGGCCACTGGCCATGGGCTCTGAGTGCAGGGCAGTGCTGGCAGCAGGGCCCAGCACAGTGAGTGAATAAACTGGGTTTGCCTGAAGACATAATTAGGCCAGCGTGACTCTGCAGGGGTGTGCAGAGTTGGGCACCTGCAGCCAGCACAGAAGGAGCCTCTCCACAATTTTCCACCTCTCCAGCCAGTGCCTGCTGGCCTGTGCTGGGCACAGCCAGTGGCCACCAGTCCCTGCTCCCCGTGCCCACCCCTCAGTCCCGAGGGGCACCAGGGACAAACCCTGCTTGTTCCAGGCTCTCCTTCCCTTTTCTCCCCTTCACGAGGTACTTACACATCAGCTGGGGGATAGAAGCCAAACACTGGGACCCCATCCACACTTCACACAGAGGAGGGCTTAGGGGAGCTTTTATTAAACACACAGAGGGTTGAATGCTGTGTTTTGCCATTGCACCCTTGTGCAGTCTGGCTGTTGGGTGCTGTGGAGGCCTCAGCTGATTCTGAAGTAGCTGGAGCAGAGTGGTGCCTGTCCAGAAATAGAAAAGTATTTTTAAATTAAATTTATTCACCGATTTTCGTGAAGACAGATTGTTGTGTGTTTGTTGAAGTGTCATTAGGAGTAGTTGGCGGTGGAACCAGGCTGAGCAGCAGTGAGAGGATGGATGTGTCCTTCCTGTGACTGAAGAGGTCACCCAGGCCACCTCCTCCTCCTCCTCCTCCTCCTCCTGGTCCCTGCACCTGGCAGGAATGGGATGGGGGTGGTTAAAGCTGACACCAGGCCTGTGAGACTGTGGGGCAGACACAAACCCAGCTCTGATACCTCTGTATATACATATATATATATTTGTATACACCAGGGTATTTTATACCCCATTGTATAAACCTGTGCCAGGGTCCCTGCTGCTCCACTGCAGCTGGAGCTGCCTGCCAGCCCCTGGCCCCAGCAGTGCCCCCCACGCTGCAGCTCGGGGATTTCTGGCACTCTCATCCTTTCTCCCTGCAGAGCAGAACCACACAACACCAGCACAGTCCCCTGCCTCTCTGGGATGTGCCTGATAAGCTGAACCTGCAGGGATGCAGTTTCAATTGTCCAAGACAAGAAATCAGGGTTTCCAAGTGGTGTGGACCTGAGCACAGGCCTTCAGAAGCTGGTCTGTGTGTAGGTTTGACAGCAGAAAGCACCAGGCTACAGTTACCTAATTAAACACATGGTTAAACACACTGCTGGTGAGGCTGCATCCCCCTTAGTGCTCCCAGGTGCTTGTGGGCAGCAGTGAGGAGCCAGGCTATAAATCCTGCTGTTCAGGAGTCCCCAGCTCCAGGAGGGGATGGTGCAGAACAGGAGGGGCAGCACAGAGGGGCGAGCATCACCCAGGGCACTGCAGGTTTGCTGCTTCTGCTGCTCACTCTGGGTGAGCTGGGATCTCCCACAGCTCCTGCCTGCAGGGCTGGGGAGCACTGGGGACTCGCTGGGAGCACACTGGGAGTGTACTGGGCACACGTGAGGGGGGGCTTGGGCCCCTGTGGGGGAGTCCCCAGTGCTGGCTCTGGGAGCTGCAGCCCAGCCCTGGGGCACAACACTGCTCCTCACTCCAGTGCCAGGTGGGTTTATCCAGCAAACTGGCATTTCCCTGCCCTGTGTGCTCCTGGGGGCTGGGTGGCCAGCGCCCCAGTGCCATGGCTAGTGCCTCTGTGCCATGGCTAGTGCCCTAGCTCCCCCCTGTGCCACGGCCAGCACCCAGGCTGTTCCTTGCCCACTGCACCCAGGGCTCTCCTGGGCTCTGGTCCAGGCTGTGCTGCTGCTCTCAGAAGCCCAGGGAGAGTTGTGTCCATAGATAAAACACAGCACCTGGGAATTTCCCTCTTTGAAGCTCTTTTTCCTGTTTATTCCTTTGTGACTCCAGGATTTTTGTGCTTGTTTAGTGCAGGGTAAGCTGGCTTTCCTCCCGGAGGCCCTGGGCATCCTCCAGCCCTGCTGACCTCAGCCCCCAGGAATGTGCAGAGGCCCTGCCTTGTGTGGCACAGGGAAACCTCAGCTTGGATTCCTGGAAGAGCGAGTGTGTGAAGGTGTGTGCAGGCAGCTCTGTGCACCCTCGTGACTCCAGCTCAGTGCAGTGTTGAAGCATGCAGAGTTTTAAATAACCTGTGACTTTGCCATTTCTGTGAAAACAGGAGGCTGAGCACAAAAGGAAATGCTGTCAGCCCCTTCATGAAGGCAGATGATGCAGAATGACATCACACCTTAGCTCAGACCTAATTAGGTGCTCAGGACTCCCAGGAGATGTCAGATATTTTCATCAGAGAATCCAGCCCTGAGCTAAATCTGTACCCAGCCATGCTGGCTTTAGCTGAGACTGTCTCAGTGCTGCTGAACAGGAAACACCAGGGCAGTAGTGAGCAGAACACTTGTATATTTTGGGGTTCACTTGTGGCTGCAGATGCCAGTGTGTCCTGGCACAAGGAATGATGAAAGCCAGGTGCAGGCAGCCTGGCCGGAGGGAGAGGTGGCTGTGCTGGCTGCCTGGCAATGCCCTCCCAGGCCGTGCTCTGTGTGCCACATGGCTGTTGGCAAACGCCCCTGGTGTCCTGGCCCCTCGCTGTCGCTGCTGTGTGATGAGAGCAGGGCACTCCTCAGCTGAGAGCCCCGTGCTCCTCCTGCTCCAGTGCCGGGCTCCGGGGGCAGCAGAGCTTGCTCCAAGGAGGCACAGCACAAACAAGTATTGTCCAGCAAAGCTTGCAGCTGGGAACTCCTCCGAAGTCCAGCTCACTGTGGCTCTTCTCCCAGCCCTGCTTTGTGCAGCCCCAGCTTTGGTGCAGCAGCTCCAGTGCAGCTCCAATGCAGCCCTGGTGCAAGGGTGCTGGGCAGGAGAGACCCCACGCCTGAAATACAGATGTCATTGAGATGCAGAGGAACAGAGTGAAGTCAAATATAGTGCTGTGATGATCTAGGTCGTGCAGCTAAATGATTTCACTGTTAATGCGAAGTTATTTTTGCTGTATTTTTGGCAAGGCTCGTGCAGGCTGTGGGATGAGCAGCTGCCTCTGTGTCCCGGCCCTGGGGTGACACAGGGAGTGTGTGGCTGCAGGGCACTGGGGCAGCAGGGCCAGGGGCTGAGCTGGGCCAGGCCGGGTCCTGCACAGGCTGGGCTGTGGCTCTGAGCTGTGCCAGCCCCTGTGAGTGACTGCACAGCCAGCACTGCTTGGCTGGGCTCACAGTGCTGCTCATGCTCTGCTCCCTCACTGCTGCCTTGAGCTTCCTTTCCTGGCTGATTGTTCCCTTGACCAAAAGAAAATGAGCTCCAGTTGAGCTATCCCACACTGATATTTGTGCTGGGTGGTGTGAGGTGTCTCACACTGATATTTGTGCTGGGTGGTGTGAGGTGTCTCACACTGATATTTGTGTCAGATTTTGGCCACTGGAGCCTTGGAAAAGCAGCAGTTCTGAGCCCTCGTTCGGTGGGGCTCCCAGGGAAGGAAGGATGAGTGCAGCAATCCCCAGAGTGATTCATGCAGATCAGTTTCCATGTGGAGTGAGAGGGGATGGAGCCTGGCACCAGCCCTGCCGTGCTGGGGATGCCAAGGGCGGCTCCAGGGCTGTGTGAATGCCCAGGCCTGTCCAGGCTTGCTCTCTTGGCACAATAAATAATTTTTACACGTCCTTATGATGGGGCTTCCAGCAGCCCCAGGGACCCTCAGAGCAGTGTCTGTCACGACAGAAACTGCTTGGCTGGTGGAAGGTCTGTGCAGTGGAGTTATGAGCAGGCAGCTTCTAAACTGTCATCCCAGGATTTCATTAACAAATTTCTACAAGACACAGTGAATTAACCTATTGAGATCATTAAGCTTTTCAGTGCTGGGTCTGAACTGAAAGAAGTTAAATGAAGCTCTCTGCCTACATCCTGCCAAGGCAGAGTCCCACTTGATGTGCAATGTGGATATCTACTAAAATCTTGGAACTCAAAAAAAAAGAAGAGGTTTTTAACTCCTGTTGGAGACCTGTGTGATTCGAGGGGGCGTTGGGAGATGTTTAAAGCCCAGACAGCAGTTACCTGTAGATGTGTTTTGTATCACACATTCTTTATTTTACCCCTCAAAAGGTCAGAGGAGCTCGAGCTGGGGATGGGCACAGGAGCCAGACCCTCAGTGCCAGAGACAAGGGCAGTGAGGGGCCAGCTCTGGGGTGATGGGTGGGATCTCTGGGGATGGGCTGTCCTGGGATGGAGCTTTGGCAGTGCTGGGGAAATGAAGTCCCTCAGCTGAGGCTGCATGAGGTGATGTCTCCTGAAAATGAAATCCAAACCCAGAATGGTCCAAAAGGCCCTAAAAGGAATCAAGAATTAAATAGGAATTGAGCACTAACGAGAGAATATCTTAATTAGATCTCACAACCTGTGGAGGAACACCTTAGATTAAAGTGAAACTGAGCTTTGTGCTCTCAGGGTTTCAGTGTGAGAATGGGAGAGGAATTATCCACATTTGCAATTTGTGAGGCTGGGTTGCTTTCCCCCTGAATTTGTCTTTTTAACTTTTTACCTTGTCAGAAAATTATGAGAAGCTACTGGGATGATGTATTTGGGTAGTTCTTAGCACGTGGCAGAAACAAGGGTAGAGTTTCCTATATAATGCTCTCCTTCCAGATTAACTCCTCTGTTCCTGTGCTGCCCAGCCTGGCCCCCACTCACCAACTCGCTTTTGACTTCCCTCCCAGTGATATTTTGTCTTTGTGAATCTCTATCAATATTTAATCCAGCGGTGTCAGTTTTGCTGTAAGATGAGAGGAACTATAGAAACCTTGAATTATGGATGGTGTGGCGGGGGAGGCTGCGGGTTTGTCCCGGAGCTGCCCAGCCCTGCAGCTCGCATCCCGAGCATGGAGGAGCCCCGGCAGCCGGGCCGGCCCCGCAGGGTGAGGTTCAGGATCTCCTCAGCCGGCAGCGGGCGGCTGCTCAAGCAGGTGTACGAGGATGGGCAGGAGCTGGAGCCCCCGGCCAAGGAGAGCTCCAGGAGATTCCTGCGCCACAGCTTCGAGCCAGAAGAGCCCCCCGAGCCCAGGGAGGGGCCACAGAACAGCTTCTACTGGCCCACAGCCCTGACTGCACAGAGGATCAGCATCCTCCGAGAGCATCCGAGCCACGGGCTCACAGGGACTTTGCCCCTGGCCAGCGACTGCCAGCCTGGAGCCAGCCACTGCAGGGTGAGTGCTGGCCATGGTGTGCCCTGTCTGGGGACCAGCTTTGGGCTAAATCCTGCTCCAAGAGCGTGGGGACAGCAGTGTCACACTGCAGGGTGAGTGCTGGCCATGGCTGGGGACCAGCTCTGGGTTAAATCCTGCTGGGAGCAGTGTGGGCACAGAGGTCTCACACTGCAGCCTCACCCAGATAAAACTGTTTTGTCAGGCCAGGACTGACAAAAGAGGGTGGTTGTGACTCTCCAGCCGTTATCCCAGGAATTCTGTATGCTGGATGTGCCACACGAGGCAGGATCCTCAGGGTCTGCAGCAGTGCAGGCAGCAGGGAACAGCACCTGCCAGCTGTGCTCCAGCTGTGCTCCAGCTTCTCCCAGTGCTGATCTGCCTCTGCCCATTGGGTAGAGTAAAAGAGAACATTTCCATACATATTGATATCTGTCCATGGGAATCCTGCTGCATCCAGATCAGTCAAATGTAAGGAGGATATTAAGTTAATTAGATATATTTTAAATATTAAAGTTGTGTGATTTCAGCTGGCAGGAAGGCAGTGCTGCCATCAGGGCACCCGGTGTCTGCAGCCTCTGGCAGCCAGAATTCCTCTTTGCCTACTTTGACAATCCCAGCTTAGTTTCACTGGCTGTTTTCTTAACATATAATTAGTGCTACTGATAGAGAAGTGCCTCTTTAGCCCTAATAGCGAGGCAGTACATGCACAATATGTGTAAATACTTTCCATGGCCTTGATTTGAGCACGCTGAAAGTCTGTGAGTTCCTGGTGCTCATCAGAGCTGTGTGTGGGAAGCCCAGCTGGCTGATATTTGACCTGCTGGCACACTGGACACGGAGTTTGCCTGAAAACATCAGACCACGAGGAATCTCTCCTGCCCAAAGGCAGGGCACTGCTGTGATCTTATCCAGCCCGTTCATTTGTTTTGCATTCCTGGGTAACTCTGCTGTCCCCAGCCTCCCCAGGCACAGATACTGGAGGAACCACAGTTCCCAGTCCCAGCCTGTGCTGCAGCAGCGTGCACTGGAGCTTGCAGACACCGTGTCTGCAACACTCTGCAGGCTCTCACTCCTGCAGGTGGGCAGGACCTGGGCTCACCTGCCTGCCCCCCCAGTGCCAGGACAGCACCAAACACCTCGGGGCACCTCAGCTGATGTGACTCAGGGCATTTTTTAGGGGAACATCTCCTTTTGCATGGCTTCTTGACACAGACACCTGGAGTGAAATATGAGGAGTGTGTAAAACAATAGGCACAGCAACTCCATACGACACCAGGAGGAGGGACCAGGTCAGAGGGAAGTGTTTCACCAAGCTTAGCTTTAGAATCACTAGAAAAAAATACAAATTCACCCATCAGGGCTGTACCTCCACCGATTTGCTGGATGCTCTGGGGGTGGTCAGGGGAGCTGGTGTGGTGGAGGGGAGGCTCTTCTGGAAGCACAGGGACCATCAGTGTTTGCAGAGTGAACTTATAGTGGTGACACACTGCCAACTTCCTTCTTCAGACTTCCCCAGTTGTAGATTTTGGCAAGATCATCATCTACACCAATAACCTGAAAATCATCCGTGCCCCGATGGACCAGAAGGAGCTGATGAGGAGAATCATCCAGACTGAGGGGATGAATGACTGGACATTCGTGTACCGGGACAGGAGAGAACGCTTTAGTGGTGGATGTAAAACAGACGTGGAGAATAAAGTCATTTGCAACCAGCACATACAGGTGAGAGAAAATGGAGAGAGCTTTCTCCCCTTAGCCCTGGGCAGACCCAAGCCCCATCCATCCGTGCACCTGGCTCCCGAGTAGGTTCGGTAAAAAGCAGACAAGGACCAGCCCTGTGCTGATCGTGCTCTGGGGACAGCTCCTGTCTCCCACTGATCTCTTCCCCTGGACATGGCTGGCATTGCCAGGGCTGGGCTGGGCTCCATCCCTTGTCACCCCTCCCAGTGGGATAAGAGCAGGGATAAGAGTTCCTCCAGCCTGACAAGGCTAAACACAGCTGCTCTGTGGCTGAGACTGCTTCGGGCTAAAATTTTAGTATCAGCTGAAATAAGGTTGTGCCTTACATGTGCTTTCTCACGGGGGAGTCTTTGTTGGTCAGAATCTCAATTAGTCTGACCATGATTTGATCCCACAAACCCTGATGCTGTCATGTGGAGCTGGTACAGTTTCGTGGGGCTGAGTCTGGTCTGTACTGAGCACGGGTCACCTCGGTCCTTCTGCTCCCAGGAATTTCGAGGTGGGGTTTGAGAGAGGCAGGCACAAAGGACAGCTCAAAGAAGGTGTGCAGGGTGGTGAGGGGACAGCTCAAAGGTGTGCAGGGTGGGGATCAGGGATCAGCTCAAAGGTGTGCAGGGGGGTGATCAGGGATTTGGGGGGAGAGGATGATGGACAATCCCTGGAGAAATGAAGTGTGGCTCAATCCTGAGGCTGCAGAGTGGGAATGGTGTGGTAAGAAATGACAGGAGGATGGGTGGAGCTGTGCAGAGCAGAAGGAGTTTTGGAGTATTGTGTGTTTTATTCCCAGTCACACGAACTTCTCATTTTCTAGCAGTAGCCGCAAATTGTCCCCAAGCACGTGGGAGCCTTTTGGTCGAGGTCCTGGCTGTGGAGAGCTGGTTGTCACAGGCACAGCGGTGTGTCGGGAGCACCCGTGATGGCAGAGTTTCCGTCTTTCTGGAATGTTCCTGGCTGTGCTATGTCTCTGACGGGATTTTCCCCGCTGTGTGTTGCAGGAGGGCAGCGCTGCACACGGCTGCTCCCAGTGCCGAGGCTCAGGCTGTGCTCCCTGCTCGCTGTGCCATGGAAGCAAGTTCTCCATGCTGGCCGACAGATTCCGGGAATCCTACCGGGCCCTGCGCTGCCCGGCGTGCGACCAGAGCGGGCGGCAGCCGTGCCGGGTGTGCGCCGCCTGAGCGCGGGGGGACACTGGGGACAGCTGGGGACACTGGAGACAGCTGGGGACAGCTGGGGACACTGGGGGTGTTCAACCTCCCTGGGGACAGCTGGGGACACTGGGGGTGTTCAACCTCCCTGGGGACACTGGGGACAGCTGGGGACACTGGGGGTGTTCATCCTTCGCTGGGGACTCTGGGGACAGCTGGGGGTGTTCAACCTCCCTGGGGACAGCTGGGGGTGTTCATCCTTCACTGGGGACACTGGGCGTGTTCAACCTCCCTGGGGACACTGGGGACAGCTGGGGACGCTGGGGACGCTGGGGGTGTTCATCCTTCCCTGGGAACAGCTGGAGGTGTTCAACCTCCCTGGGGACAGCGGGGACACTGGGGACAGCTGGGGGTGTTCAGCGGTCCCTGGGGACACTGGGGACAGCTGGGGGTGTTCAGCGGTCCCTGGGGACAGCTGGGGGTGTCTGGGGACACTGGGGACAGCTGGGGGTGTCTGGGGACACTGGGGACAGCTGGGGCGTTCAGCGGGCCCGGCAGTGAGCGCTGTTTACCGGAGGGAAAGGCGCTCTGTTCCAATGTCGCTGTGTCGCTCTGGCCCTGCCCGGGGCTCCGCAGGGTGAGCCTGTCCCTGACCCAGAGGAAAAGCAGCTCTGTAAATGTCCCCGAGCCGGAGCTTGGCCCAAACTGTGGCCCCGTGTGCTGCTCTTGCTCCACACTAATCCCGTGCTGACATCTGCAGCAGCTAAACTGCAATTAGTGACGTGAAGCAATGATGGGGATCCTTGCAGGCTGCCAGAGCACAGGGGCTGTGAGAGCCTGGGGCAAACAGACGAAATGGTATTTTTTCTCTAAAGCATTAACTTACTACTCTTTTACATTCAGGGGTGATGTCAGTGCAGCCTTAACTCCCGTGCTCCCTCTGACACCCTGGGGAGCTGGAGGCTGCAAGCCCAGGCACGATAATTTACAGCCAAGCTTCTCTTTTCCTGTGGTAGGTTACACGGTTTCTCTGCAATACTGAAATTATTCAAAATAATGCTGTTCTAGCTCCTGCACTTCCACGTGTCTTCTGCTGGAATTGTGCTTTGGGTTTCTTTTCTTAAAAGTGCATCAATCTACAGGAGATACTTGATCAGCTTCATTCATCAGATCAGTATCCACAGTGTGAAAATATGTTGTCCTTGGGGTATCACTGAGGGCAGGTGAGACTTCCCAAATCAGAAATTGCTGCCAGGCAGATCCCTTCCCTCAAATACAACCTGACTGATCTCAGTTTGTCGGGCTCGATGGAGACTTTGCTGGCTTAAGGTAAGAAAGATAAGAAAAAAGTAACCAGGCAAAATTGCCTGATAGTGTTTACAACAAAACCAGACTCAAATATGCACTTATAAAATCAATATTTATTGTTCTTTGGTGATGGTAATGTTTGTCAGGCAGTGTCACTCCTCCTGGCTGTGTCAGCTGTTCCCATGGTGTGGAGCTGTCCCAGGGTGTGCCCGCAGCAGGAGCCGAGCTCTGCCCTGCTCAGTCCTGCCCCACAGCTCCCACTGTCCCGCACTGAGCCGAGCAGGGATTGCCTCCCAACGGGCTCCTTTTATTTTTGGTGATATGCCTGCTGGATTTACCCAATAAATGCTCTTATTTCACATGGCAGAAGTTTGAGCTTTCCTGCTGAGCTGACTGCAATGGGCTCCTTGTCACGTTTCTGGTTTTATTTCTGCTGCATTCAGAGCCCCCATCCCTCCCCACTGCTGGCACAGGGTGCAGGGCACAAACTGAGCACAAACCTGGCTCTGGCCACGGCTCTGCCCACCAGAGTGTCACAGTGCCCAGGGCTGGCAGTGTCACAGTGCCCTGCACGGTGCAGCCTGGCTCCTGCTGCCATCCCTGGCTAACCTCCTACCAAAACCTGGCAGATCTTTACCAGCTGGATTACTTTGTGGGTCAGGGTAGGAGTGGAAGATGATGTGTTGGGCTTCTGCCAAAAAATAACAAGTTTTTCCAGTTTGCTGAGAAGGTGGCACTGGATTTGCTGAACTCACCAGGCTTCTGCATGTGATCTCAGTGGGGTCAGCTGAAGTGTCTGATGAGAGTGGTGGATGAAATACAGGAACCTCTAAAATATGTGGTGGCAAGGCTTTGGTTTAATTGATCACCTATGTTTTCTCTGGTGTTTAATGGCTCAATAATAGAAGCAGACCCCTGGAGTGCTGGTGAGCTCTGTACCAAACCCCAAACTTCCTTTGTGTGACATTCTTTTACAAAGGCAAAACTCAAATCTCACAACTGCCAGCACTCTGAACAGTAAATACAGGCAAAGATTTTTAGTTTGCAGTCTATTTCTCTTGTTAACTCTCTACAGCTGTTCTCGGCTTGCCTTAGAACAGGAGCACGCAAAAAGGCATTTAAGGGTTTCTCTAAAGTAGAAAACAAACCCAAGAGCAAGAAAGCAAGCATTTCGTGTGCTGCCCTGCTGCGGGAGTGCAGAGCTGTCGGAAGGCTCGGGCAGCCTCTCACTCGCTGTTGTTGGCTGCCACTCCATGGTGAGCCCATGGATGTGCTCCGAAACGCCTGGGAAAACGTGGAGCAAACTTGGAAAAGAGGAATCAGGGCCCCCTCCTGCTGACTTTCTGGAGTGTTTGGCAGCTCAAGGGGAAAGGAGAAGCAGAGTCTGGGCTCTTTGTTGTGAAGGGTTTGAGCCAAATCAGCTGGAAATGGAATTGTTTCCTGTGTTACACATCCATGCGAAGCAGGGAGGGTCCCTGGAGCTGAGCAGCGCCAGGAGAGCAGAACTGGGAGGTGAAATAATCCTGGTTTGGACGTGGTTGCAGAGTGTTCTGCATGGCTGGAGCCCAGGACGGAGCAGCACTGCAGAGGAGATTCCCAGAGCTCCTAATAAATGCCCTGGCTCTCCCTGCTGGGACTCTGCAGGTGGAGCCCTGGAATGTTGTTTGGCTGCAGAACAGGGTGGGGAGCTGTGACCAGACAGGTCTCAGAGACCAGAGCCGAAGCTCTTGGGGCTCCTCAAGGCTCTGAGTGCCAAGACATCTCCTGGCCCACAGAAATCCATGTGTGGCCTCAGATTTTGTGTTTCAGCTCCAACTTGTCCGTGAGGATGGAGCACAGAGGTCCCTTGGAGAGTGGAAAGAGCCGTTGTGGGGTTTGGGTTTTTTGGGTGATTGCAGGGGTTGTTTTAAAGTGAGTCCATGACCTGGGAACAGAACATTTCGTTCAAGTGCGATGAACTGATCTGTATTTGAAATATGCACATCTGTATGTGAGAGGCTTCTGTACTTATCAATCTTTATCACAGTGACTAATCTGTGCAGTGGGTTTTTAGTTTACATTTACTCACAGCCAACACCCTTCCAAAGCAGAAAACAAGTGGAGGAATCTGGAAAGCTTTAGCTGAATTTGCAATATCACTGCCTTATTTCCTTGCAGTTAAAAAGGAAAGAATTGGAATATTTATAAATTTAGACATTATTATTTTTGCAAGTCTTTGAGGCTGTCGTTTTGATTTATGTGGGCTACATTTGATTTGCATGTAAACCCAGCCCTCGATTGCTTTGAAATCTTTTGATTTTACACAAACTGTTGTGTGTGAGCTGCAGTGATGCCTCTGCTGCAGAACTCTGTGCAGCCCCAGTGACTCCCAACAACTTCTGGTTCCTGCTGCTGCTGGAGATGATGGCACAGCCAGCAAAGGTACGTGGGGTCTGAATTCCCAGGATCTGCAATAATGCCCAATGCAAGCAGTCCTGCTTAGTGGAAAACGATGCATTGGCTGGATGATGAGGGAGAGCACAGAAATTCTTGTTTTATTTGCTGGGTTTTGTAAGTGGGGAATTGCTGGTTCTGGGTGGAGCAATGTGAGGATTGGCCCTGGAACCACTGGGACCCCCATGCTGAGGTGCTGAGGGTTTCTGGAAACGCTCAAAGCCAACAGTGGGGTGGGAAAAATAATTCAGATCTGTGGGTGGGTTACAGGCAATGTCAGCTTTGTGGTTGCTTTAGGCTGACTCCGTGTGATGGAGGAGAAAATTCTTTGAAATAAGCAAATCACTCTGGAAATAAATTTATTACAGGAGCTCTTTAAGGACTTTAGGAGAAGCGTGCACGCTCTGTCAGGATCCTGTCCCTGTGTCCCAAGGTTTGGCATCCCGAGGGATGGAGAGCGGGGCGGGGGGGACTGAGGCGGCCGAGGGAGGGGGCACCTGAATAGGAGATACCTGAGCAGCCGGGGGGTACCTGAGCAGGGGTGTCTCTCCCTCTCCTGGGGTGTCTGTGTGTCCCGGGCTTTCTCTGTCTGTCTGTCCCGGTCTATCTGTCTGTCCAGGGCTGTCCCGGGCTGTCTCTGTGTGTCCCGGTCTGTCTGTGTGTCCCGGGTGTCTGTGTGTCCCGGGTGTCTGTGTGTCCCTCCCGGGGTCCCTGTGCGGTGCTGCGGGGCGGCCACACGGTGGCGCTGCTGGCCGGGAGGTGCCGGGAACCGAGCGGGGACAGAGGGGACGGGGGGGACAGGGGGACACGGGGACAGAGAGACGAAGGGGACAGTGGGGATAGTGAGACGAGGGGGACAGAGGGGACACGGGGACAGAGGGGACAGAGAGATCGGGGGGACACGGGGATAGAGGGACAGTGGGGGCAGAGGGATAGAGGGATAGAGGGACAGAGGGACGGGGGGACACGGAGATAGAGGGGACAGAGGGACACGGGGACAGCGGTGTGCAGAGGGCTGGGGCTCCTCCCCTCTCGCAGTGATGACACCTGCTTGTAGAGCTGTGCTGCTGTTTCTTTCTCCGTGAGCTGTAGCGAATGGAGCCTGTTTCAAGCCTGGCTGACACAGGCTGCTGTCCAGGGAACGTTTCTGTAAATGGCTCCTTGTCTGACAGGACTGGGCCCCGCAGGGTGCAGGGTACCTCCACAATGTGCTGCTGCCATTGCAAAGCAGCACGTGCTGCACAAACCTCCAACCTTGGTATAGAACAGGCCTTGAAACCCTTGTGCCT